GAAGGAGAAGAGTTTCGCTGTTACCTTGCTAGCTACCAAACCACGCCATCTGTGTTTTGTTGCTATATTTATGCTGACTCCAACTGACCGGACAACTGGCCAGCAAGAGAAGGGAAAGGCACTGACAGGAGAGGGTGCTAACGATTTAGGCAAGGGAGCGAGCCAGGCACAGAATATGCAGATAGTGGCCCCGGACCGGCTGCCCCTGCAGCAAACATCAAAGCCAGGGTCAGATCAGTGAGCGGCTCTCACGGAGGATGCTTTTTAGTGGGGAGAATAAGCAGATCCAGGCTGTGACAGCTAATCTGTATCTCTAAATCCAGCCCTGTAATTATTATTATAAGCTTTTCAAGACACCATTAGATTTGAAAAGTAAATTTGAATTTATAAATTGAGTCCTTCTAGATAGGGTCAGGGCTCCATCCAAGGCATCATTTAATAGCATTATGGGCTGATAAAAACTTGGGAAAATCATCAGAGGGGTCAAAACTGCGTTGAAATGCTTCACGGCCGTCCTCAGCCCTTGCAGCGCGTTTGATTCCGGTCAGACCAGCAGTTTCAAGCTGAGTCACAGTTGTGCAGCCTCAATATCTGCTCCGGAGGCCACACACAAACAGCGGGAAAGGAGCTTTCCAACCCAGACAAATAAGGACATTGAGTCCCTTTTCGGTTCCTCAAGGCCTGTTCCTGTTACGCTTCCCTGTCCCGTTACACAAAAACCCAGCTCCGCGCTCGTGACTTCAGGCTCAGGACCCCAGACAAATGAGGGATGTATGGAGCTCACAGCGAGCGTGTTTGGAATAGAGCTGAGGAGCATCACTTCAATAAGGGGATGTTCCAGGCAGCCATGAAACAAGGGGATTTGAAGATGAGTTTCCTGCTTAATTTTTTAATCCCTTTCCAAATCTTTCAATGCGCTTGCTTACGCTCCGTGTTTTGATTCCCCCCAGCCCCCTTCCCCGGCTTTGTAGTTGAGGCAGACTTTGAGCTTTTTTTTCCCATTGCATGCAACTCGTAGTTAATGATCGGCAGCTCTGCGGTTCCAGGTATGACCGTAAAAAAGTCCCTCGGTCTCTCTGGGGCAGATCGTCTTTTGGTGCAAGTTGCCTTATACCGCATGGTGTTTATGTTCTCATCAGGGAAATAACGATGGTATCACCTTTCCTCCTGCCTTTTGTCAAAGGAGAGAACGACCTGTCTCTTCCTAAAGTGCTTCAGACAATGACTGTGCTCAGCCAGCCATAAACACAGCTATATAATAACCTCCAGACCCATCTCCCCACTTAATTTACATACATGCTGTACACATCAGTTCATTCTCATTTTTTTTTCTTTATTTAGAAATAATAAAATAAGACATAATATATAAAAATCTGTACAATCCACAATTTGTGCAGTACATTAGGAAGACTTTGATACAAAAAGGCTGCAAACAGGAAAATAGTAATGGACAACTGTCAGATGCCTCGATTGTTCACCTTACAATAGCTGCAGGCCAAAAGTCATTACAAAATCAGTTTTTCGTTGGCTGTGGGATGGCAACTATGCAGCACCCTTCTACTTTACAATGGTCGTGAGCAGCCATAATTTAAAGACATTACAGTACTTCTCAGTTTTACCTTGTAATCCATTAGGAAAAAGAAGACCGAAGAGAACAAATAAAACATCTGGACCCTTTGTCTTTTCCGAGAAGAGCGAGCGCTAAACTAACAACACAGAAGTTTGTCATGGCTGGGAGCGAGTATCCCTAGACACAGCTACCAAGTAATGATTTCTACCCTTGCTACTTAACCACGGACAACTCGCACGGAAGAGACAGAGGAAAGAGGAGATCCATCCCCACCTGCCTCGGAAATGCTTTTCGCCACTGTACGCAGTATTGTGTTTTAGACAATGTGTCTCATTCAAGTATTTTCAGGGAAGGGCAGAAATAACATATTCCCCCCCAGACCCTAAGCGAAATACAGTATAAACCTTCTGTGCGAGCCAGTTGAGCCAACTTTATCCTTGATAAAGAGGCCGAACCAACGCCCGCGGGAGTCTGCGGGTAGAGCTCAGTCAGTTTAAGGGACCCCTAATTAAGCATCAGCTTGGCCCAGGATCATCGGGAACTGAAGAAACGCTGTCAGTCACTGTGTAGTCCTTAAAAATAACAACTTTTTTTTTTTTTTAAAATGACTAACCCAATTTGCTGCTGTAGAAGTGTGCTACAATAGTCTGTCGTGTACTGGGCTTACCCCGGCATGTTGAGAAATACAGAAATGATGGGCAAGGGGGAAGGGTACCATGGAGTGTACATTGCAGGTCTCTTTCTAGCAGCTTCCCGGAGCCAGAGGCTGAGTGCAATTCTGCAATGTGAGATTCAATCGGCAAAGACAAAGGGTTATTAAAAAAAAAAAAAAAAAAAAAAAGGAAAGAATGCGGCAGAGAGTGTAATGGATTACCTCAATGCACACCCTCGACAAGACTAGCACTCGGAAAGCTGGTAACTTTTAAAAATGCCAGTAACTAGAACATGTTTGCAAATTAAAAGTCCATGCTTAAAAATAAATAAAGAGAAGTTCATAGCATTAGGAATCCTATAAGGCTTGCAAGTATTTGCTAAAAATCATGCTAACCGGTAGCATCTAGGTACTAGCTAGCCGAGACTGCTGAGCAGAATTTATATTTTTTTGTGGCCTTTTCTTTTTCTTCTTCTCCTTGTCCTCCTTTACAGACTTCTATTTACATTTGGCTTTAAATATGAAAATACTTGATAAACTTTATAAAATGTACATTTTAAAAATATTTCTGAAAAACTGACTTGAAAAACAAAACAAAACAAAACAAAAAAAACCCCAAAACCTCTGCACCAGAAATGTTAAGGGGGAGGGGATTTTATTTTATTTTTTTTCTCCAAATTTCTTTTGCTTTAAAGAAACAAGCTGAATTCTGCATTTCCCCGTCCCCCGTCTCTCATCCCTCCCTCAAACATCTCAAGTATCATTTGGTGGGAGCACTGCGCACCTGGAGGATGCTGACCTGGAGAACAGGTCCCCTTTCTCCCAGTCAGCCTCCCTTTTCCATCCCTTCCCCATCGCATTGTCATGCACCCTCTGTTTCACTGAATACTCTTTGGTTTAGTTATTTTCCTTTTACAAGAACATCACAACAGCAGCACTAGCAGCACTCAGTTGTCTTCACTACTGTTGACCCAGAAACTGCACTCAAACCGCCTTTTATGCTCAGCCTTTCCTTTCTTTTACGTTCCCCCCACCCCAGTAACAGCCTTAGTACTTGCACTTAATCATCTGCCCTCTCTAGTAGTCAAATCCATGTTTACAACGTCGAATTTCCACAGTTTCGAACCCACCCACTGTAGATACCATCTTAGCAGAAACCGTTTCATTGCAGGCATTTCTTTCAGGCAGGGCTGGAAGGGGCCAGAGGCCTTCACAGATATCCATTTGCAGAAGACATTAGACCTAGAACAAGCTGTTTTTTAATGGCATACAGTGATCCAATACTGCAAGAGTTGACTAGGATTATCGTCCCCACCACCCCTCTCCACCTGCTCCTCGGGGAGCAGGCGTGAAGCGCAGCTTCGCCGTCTCCTTGATCTTAGAGGCACAGAGAATTTAAAGCCGCCTGGGTGAAGGAACCAAAATACCGCCAGAGCCAGAGCTTCACAGAAGGTGACAAGGTCTGCTCAGAGCTTGGTGACCTGTGTCTCATCCACTGACCACTCGGTTGGTGTTTGCCAGGGAGAGGAGGCAGGAGATGGACCTTGCTTTGCAGCCTCATCCTCCCCAAATAATCCCTCTCCAAATGAGCTGGGGAAAAAAAAAATACACTTTTTCTGACACCCTTGCCCTGCTGAAAAGAAGCATTTTTACCAAATGCTACAATTCCCTGTGCCGTTCCCAAGTGCTGTGTTACAAAAGTTGTTTTCTCTTTTCCTCTCCATTACCCTCTCCCTTCCTCTTCAAAAACCTCTTCCCGGGGATTTATCTATCGCTCGGCTCATCTGTGCCCCAACGCCCGGCTCCAGCAGCGTTATCTCTAGCACCGATCGGCAGCTTCGCGTGTCTCTGGCATGGTTTAACGGGTAAGACAACGGCGGCCAAGGGGCTCGGGTCAGTCGCCTGCAGCACATGGAGGATGGTGGCTCAGTTTTCCGGAGGCTGGGTCAGCGCCGAGGGCTAGCGCGGGTTTGGGAATGCGTGCACTAATACTTGACCTTCTGCTGCAGCCCGGCTGGGCGAGCGACCGGGGAAGGACAGACGTTTGCTTGTTTGCTTTCCCCCAACTGCGTTTCTCCTTACAAGAAAGGAAGGGAATTTATTT